AAGACACTGAGATGAAACTATTCATGCTGGAACTTTTATAAATATTAGCCATGCCACTTTGCCAGAACTGAAGATTCCTTCTTTAAGTCCCATGCAGAAGAAAACTTGTTTCACAGGACATTCCCCCTTCTGCTTATGGTGGGGCCATTGGGTCAATACTGGTTTGGAAGAAAGTTTCCACATACCAGCTCACTGACATATTCTTGTGAGAAGAATAAACTTTGGGTCCTGTGCTCATCCCAGAGCAGTCATTTTCATTTTTACTGGTTTCCTTTAAAAACTTTCCCATGTGCAGTATCTAATTATGGTACATTACAAAAACCTGTGTTTCAATGGTACCAGTGCACAGTGCTGAAAGGGACTGTTGGTAAATTGCTTATGCACTTTGATGATTAAGCCAGTAATTATTGCATTAGCAATCTAAATCACTCTTTTCAGCTGATGTATCTCCTCCTAAGGCAATCCCAGGAGATGTGATGGGCTGAGTAGAAAGGATATGGCACTGGAAGAAGGGAAGCACAAAGAACATGCAGGAGATAGTGCCAGGGATTAAGTGGAGGTGCTTTCTCCTGTGTCTGGTTCAGTGTGACTCAGGGTGGTACATCAAAGGGGTGTGGTACATCAAAAAGGATTTATTATTTCCCTTAGAAATGTTAAAATAGACATTTCTAGTGCTGGCTGTGAAAGGCTCCGTGATGCTTCCTGCCAGGTCTTGTCACTGAGGTTATACTCACACAGTAATCAAAGCAAATGATTTTATTAGGTTGAGCAGATCTTTTATAAGAGCATGTAGGGATGGGACAAGGGGGAATGGCTTTAACCTGGTAGAGGGGAGATTGAGATGAGCTCTTAGGCAGAAGTTCTCCCCTGTGCGGGTGCTGAGGCACTGGCACAGGGTGCCCAGAGAAGCTGTGGCTGCCCCATCCCTGGCAGTGTTCAAGGCCAGGTTGGAACCTGCTCTAGTGGAAGGTGTCCCTGCCCGTGGCAGGGGGCTGGAACTGGATGAGCTCTAAAGTCCCTTCCAACTCAAACCAGTCTGGGGCTCTCTGAGTAAGATGCCCTTTCAGCTTCCACACCACTGTGCCATTCAGCTGCCTATGCTGTTCCATGTTCCTGTACTGAAATGTTTGGTAACATAGCTGGATGTGTTACCAAACATCACCCCCTCACCTGAGGTCAACCTTTTGGTGTCTTTACACTGCATTTTTTGAGAATGAGCACTTTAGGATCCTCCGAAAAGCGAAGGCATAAAGCAAGTTTCAGACACTGCTTTGCGTCTTCAGGAGCTTTTGGCTTTATATGATAAAACTTCAGGAAATAAGCTACTTGGAGCAGTTTGCTCCCTGGAAGATAGATGGGCACCAGATCCTGCACCCCTGCAGTGTTGTTTTCCCATCAATGTCCTGAAATGATGCACTCGCAGACCCATTTCAGAGGCTATTTCAAGCCCAGAAGTGATATTTTTCTACCCTCGTGGGTTCAAAGAGCTACATTTTTGCCTGTACTTCTTAGCAAGAACCAGCATGGTTTTCTCTTTTTAAGGAAATATTTCTCATGGAATTGATAGCTTCTTCAACTGCATCTGAGTATGGATCAGGGTTTGAGCTCACTATTATGGGCAAATATCACCCTTGTACTTCTAAAGGTGTGTTTTATACCTACTGTTGGATTTGAGCAAGTGGCTAGATAAGAACATTTTTACAAGCTTTCCTGCAAGGAGACCAATTCATTGCCACTACCATTTCACTGTTTGCTCTGTGGGAATTTATTATTGAAAATCCAGTTTCTTGATAAGTGTGCTCAAAAGTAATGCAGTTCTAAAACACAGAGCACAGTTTGAACCTCCAGGGCTGGGTAGGTGAAAGGAGTCCTCAGCTGAAGATTTCTAAGCAGAATGCAGAGGTAGTAAACCAGTGTGAACAGCAGAAATAAATCTTGATGGGAGCAATGGTGCATGCTTTCTCCTGGGCACACTACTTGAAATGGTGTGTTTTAAAGCAAAGCAAATTGCTTCTCAGGTATACCTGATGAACCACATTGAAAATTGCCTTGGGCTCGAGTTCAGTGAAAGAACTGCTCTCTCTGCCCTACTTTACACCAATAGCTATGCCATGTTGTTACCTAGAGCATAGCATCAAAGCTGAAGGTGCTGGTCTTTTTAAAAGGCTCTTGTCTTTGAGGCACTGTCCTTTATGTGTTTCCTATAGTCTTTCACTCTCTCCTTGTCTATGCAGTTACTTCCCCCCAAACAGGGGAATTAGACAATTAATTGCTTTCTCCTTCCCCTCTGTCACGATGTAACAGCCCATTCAGTGTATAACCTTCTCCCTGGAAGGGTGATGGTGCTACCCTCTTAAAGCTGGAGAAGAGGCTATAGGTACTACAGCCATAAATTCCCTGGTAAGAGGTAAGGACTGATCGGCTGAACGTGGACATTGGGTCAGGCAATGCAGATGGATGAGTTTAAGCACCCTCGTGGTGCATGAAGCAGCAGTAGATCAGAGTGGAGGTTGTTTTAGGGAACAGATCTCAGACACTATGCTGGAGTAAAGTGTCAGCAGGAGTTTGTGGAGGGGTGTTGGTTTTGGATAGAAAGCACACAGAAGAGCAGAGCCCAGAGAAGACAGTACCCAAATAACAAGCTGGAAGGCATCCAGCATGGGTAAAAAAGAGAGAACCCTACCAAAACACTGCAAAGACCTTGACAAATGTTTCCATCTCCTTATTTTGTCTGTGTGGTCCAGAAAACAGTGATAGTGAATAAAAAGTATTTGGTTTGAAGACAACAAAATGAAAGAGACAAATATATTTTTGTAGGACAAAAAGTCCACTCGTTCTGGAATTCCTTTCCAGCCCCTGGCCAATTCACTTTTAAAGCTCTCAAAGCGATTCAACTTCCATTACTTCTCTTATGGGAACTGTGCCTGTTCTAATGAATTGCCCACCAGCTTCTCATGGCATGGGTTACACTCACACTCCTCAGTTAATCTCTTCAAAAGATGCTGCTTTTTCCTGTGCATGCTACAGCCTTCTAATAAATAGAGGCAGTTTTGGTCTTCTTCCTTTCATCGTTGCATGACTAAACATGCAAATGCGTGGTTTAAAAAATCCTTTAAATCTGTTCTTGGCCAATTAATTTTACTCCTCTTTGGTGAATTTCTTTATAAAGTCTTCAGACAGTATTTTTGGAGAGGAAAACAAGAGGCTTAAGCTCTCCTAAGGTGCAGAGCAACACGCTGAAATATATCAAACATGTTGCAACAGGATATACTAAAAATCCACTACTGTTTACAAACTTCTCCTTCTGGAAGGAATCAAGGATCTTCAGTCTCCTCTTAAAGGATTCTCGGCTCTGTTTCTAAGGCACTGAGAGCCTTGCAAGAGTTGACCTCGCAAACATGTTCAGCATCCCCTAGTCAGCTGTAAATTGCATATCCTCACACTGAGGTGCATTGCTGATTTCTCTCCCACAAAACTGATTTAAAATTCACTAATTTCACATCGGATTATTCCTCACACACTTTGCCACCTACTGACTGTCAGTCAGACCAGCATCTAAACAGATACCAAAACACCATCTCTCTCCTAATTGTGGCACTTTGAAAGACCAAATAACCTTCTGCATTCTAATTATCTTACAATTCCTTTGTTGGTTATTTATGTGTCATGCAAAGCACACGTGTAATTTCCACATGGCTGCTGCTGAAGAAAGTACTGTTCTAAATGGCAGCATTCCAAAGCTGCAGAAACAAATAAGCAAAAGTAGCCCATTTAAAAGCCTCGCTATGCCAGCTCCTCAGAAATGTTCCCACCTGAATCTGCTGCAGTAATAAGAGCTTTAGAGTGCAAAGTCCAAATGCCTGCCCATGAATCCTCTGGATCATCAGACCAAATGAAATGCCTTTTTGTATAGAGGCCTTTGAAGTCAGATCTAGAGGAGGACTCGGGCATCAAATCCCTGTCAAGGCTACAATTAGCAGCCTGACCTCTTGCAGGACATGGGAGAAGTGTGGGATGAAACAGACCCAAGCCCCATGCATTGGGCAGGGACCCTCTAACAAGCACTTGGCAGGCAATGCATGTGGAAGACTGTGACTAAACTCTTGAACCTACTGTGGCTCTTGTGGTTCTGTTCCAGGCCCGTAGGAATGTGTTTTTCTTCCTTGTTTTTTGATTTACTACAAAGACCGTAAAGAAGAAAGAATTTACATTTCATGGGCTTTGACCAGTCTGGGATAGCAGCAATAACAATACAACCGCTAATACCATCTTCTCTGTGAATGACTTTCAAGAGGAAAACAGCATGTTCTTTCTGATTTTTATAAGAACAGTTGTAAGCCCAGCTCTAAGATCTGGATTAAAACAGCTACAGGTGCTTTTGCTCATCCTAGATAAGATGCCAGACTTGTAGAGTAGACAGGACTGTGGCTGTGTATTTGTGCCTGGCATCTCCTATTGCATCTCCATAGGCTGCTTCCTTCTCGGCAGGTCAGATGTTCAGATAAGCATTTTGAGCTGTATAATTCTCAGCAAGCACCACATAAGAGGAGCCTTAATGTTGATCTTAAGAGTTTTATACTCTGCTCTGGTGACCAAACTCTTAAAAGCAAGTTATCAAAACCTAAGGTCTATCTTACTGGATCTAGTCACAGCCTGCAAGGCTCTCTTGCTGGTCTACTCTAGAACATAACAAAAAAGTGCATCAACAAACATTCTTTGTAAATAGGTTTTACGTAATTAAAGCCATTCTGCATGTTAAGTACATTATCTATCTTTTAGAAACCTAATTAGACTAATAGACAAAAATGTACAGAAGAAATCTCTCTTTAGCAGTCCTTCGTGGAAAACACGCTTACTGCTGCTTTTGAAGAATTAGTTTCTCCTCACCTTGTATTAAAATTGCATAGCAGTCAATCTACCACAACTTGTTGCTCAGCATTGATATACAACATTTCTACTGGAGGTGACAGAATAGTTAATAATAGATGTTTTTTGCTCACCTCATCAAGGATATGCCTCTTGCTTTTAATGTGCATTTCAAATACATCTTCTAATGCCCTTAAAAAAAAGAATGAAAAGCAGCATCACTGCAAACAAAGATTGTTCAAAGGCCATACACTTCCAAATGAAAGCTACCACTCAGCCTGTCTCTCAGATCACTCAAAATACATCCCAACTTCTCACTTTTGCCCTGTCCTATCATACCTGTCACTGGATTTAAAAAATACAATCTTAAACATTTGAAGGTTGTTGAATATTCTCATTGCAAGTGCGTGCAGTTGGACAGGAACTGTGTCTCACATACACAATTCCAATTTCTACTTCCACAGTCAATACAAATATAAGAGTATTAGTGCTCTTCATCCCCCTCTGCATCTTGATGGGGCCTAAATCTTTCTTGCTTTTGTCAAGCCCTGTCCCACCACATTCGCTGGGTGAAAATGCTGAGGGTACTGGACAGTCCTGCAAGCAGCTTCCTAGATTCACGTATAGCTGATATTCCTTTGTCTGGGATACTGCATTACCCCCAGGACTTTAAATTGCCTCTATCCAATACTTTGTAGACCTCTGAAGGTCATTTGCATTGTCTCTGCTTTCTGGCTTCCTTCTAAGGGAAACACGGAAGGCTGAACTTTCATACTTCTGTTAACTAGGGGTATCAAGGAAAGAGAGATGCCTTCAGAAAGTGCTCTCAATATCCTTTCTTAATGGTGTACGATCAGCTGCAAGCAAAAAACGTGCTCAGAGTGATGAGCATCAATAAAAATAAAGACCTAACTGAGCAGCAAAATGAGATCTCCAGGTTCTAAAATCATAACTTGGGTAAATATAACCCAATGGCTGCATTTTCAAGCAATCATAAAAGCTGAAAATACCTGCAGTGAGCTGGAGGGCTCAGCAGAGCTGTTTTGGCTCTATACTGTATTTTTGAATTGGGAGGGCATTTATGATTTTATCTGTAGAGAAACTGGCCTAAATAAATGGAGATATTAAAATGTGTCTATCATATTAATCAGACAGCAAATTAGCTAAAGCCATTATTTGTGTCTTTTCTAGTCTGTCACTAAATCGATTTAGAAATTCAACTTGTGATTTGAGACAAAAGGCTACTATTGATTGCTCGCTTTTATTCTGCAGAGAAATCAAGTTGTTATTAGAGACTACCTAAGAAAACAATGGATGAGTTTTAATAACCTCTGGTTTTGAGGGAAGAGTGCACAGCATCTAAACAACCTCCATCTAAAGTCAACAGAGCAGTCCTTTCACCCTACAAGCCTGAGCACGGGCACCTTGGTGCCCCACTGTGTTATGAGCTGGGCTGAATGTAGAACACGACTCACATCATCCAGGTACAAGTTTGTGTTCTCTCATTTGGTTTTCATTATCTATAGACAAACCCCCTTATTTTTCTGAAGGATACTAATCCTGTTAATATGGAGACTGGCACACAGTAGGTTTTTAGGGGGTTATTTTAATGTTATCTTCTTGTTAACTGTACATATGGGCAGGCATGATACTTCGCAATGTTTAAAATGTGTGGTGAGTCAGTGTTTTTCAAATCTACTGTTGTTTCTCCCAGTGTAACCAGAAAATTCACTTCTAATTTGGGCTTTGAAGTTGGAAAGCTGCTTCAGAAGGAAGGGGAAAACTATTACCTTTAACTGACCGCTCAGAAAACAAACTAATCACTTGTATTAATGGGCACTTAAAAAAAAACCCCAACAACATTTGAAAGAGCCTTAGGGATTTTAACTGAAATCCTCTAGATTGAAAGGGAAGCATCTTGGTCTGGTGTCAGACTGAGCTTGATTGATTCCAGCAGGTTAGCACCTCTCCAGCATCAAAGCACAGCACTTGACAAAGACTGAAATCTTAAACACTGGGGTTAAAACCTCTATCACAGGAAGAGTTTCTCCCACTTAGGATGCAGGCTAGGAAATGGCACAGAAAAAGAGCACACAGTTACAAGTCTACAAACAGACCTGTGGTTCAGCACAGCTCTCTAAGCATTAGAGATGTCATAGATTTCAATTAGAAATGGCAGTGTGAAGTGGTGCACGTGTGTAACAGGATCTCACGGACAGAACATGAAACCAGAAAAGGATGCTGCAGTTAGTCACCAGCAGCACTGCTTGCATTTGGCTCTAGTCTTTATGTCTTGATCATTAACTTGATAGTGCATAAGTCCTTAAGAAAGCAATTATTGCATTTATTTAGTTTGCTCTTATAGGAGGGAGGAAGAAGTCTAAATACAAAATCTTGCTCTGATGCAGTTCGTTAGCAAAGACCCATTGCAGCTCCATGGCTGCACTGGATTGACTGGGAACTGGAATGAGACTCTGGTAACAATAATGTCTATCACCATACTATACAAGGTCAAAGCATATGATGTTTCCATATTTCTGTTAGTAGCCACTGGGAAATATGAGGGTGGCTGAAAACACTTTCTGTTCAGCTACTCAGCTGAAATCCTGACTCCTATAAACCACAGTCACAAAAGTATTCATTAAATTCAACTGATTTCAAGTTTCACTCGAATCTCGTTAAAACCACCAATTCTTTACACTGATTGAATGATTGTCAAATATCTGTTACCCAATGGAATAAACAAGAAATTGGAAGCACTTACTCTTTGTGAAAACAACTTCTAATCAAAATATCATTAGTAAGATCTTGTAGAAAGTGAAGATACTCTTCTTCTCTACACAAATACACAAGCTGTCAGCATCTTTAATGCACACTGAAGACAAATAAGGTTTAAAATGCCAGCTGAAGAGGTAGCAGGTTTAGAGTGATTAAACCAACTCAAATAAGGAATTGTGTCAACATAGCCAAAAGTGACGAATCTATTTAGTAGTCTGCAGTTTTTACTGTTTAGGTTTATACTTAAAATGACTGGTTCTGTTGGCCAACTCCCTGATTACTTTAAGCCATTAATTTCATTAACCAAGAATATCTATGCCTTTTGTGAATACTCAGTTAAAAATAGTCCCAATGCACAAAGCGTAAGTATCAGAAGATAAATTATTATTTACACTTTTTATTTATTTGTTATGTACTTATTCTTAACATACCTAGTTTGCCTACAGTAAGAGGGGTGGCATGACTCTGAAAATCTCTTCCGATCTTTACGCTTCCCAAGCACACAGCTAAATCCTATGTCCCTCATAGAGTCCCTTCTGCTCACTGCATACAGCCATTACTAATTGGCTCATGTGCCATGTTTTCAATGTTCCTCTAGATTCCTACTTTAATATTTTGATAGGAAACTTAGTTAAAAGGGACAAACAAATATTTAACTTACGTTTCTTCAAGTTGCGATCCTGAAGAAAGTGGCATTTCAGAATCAGGAATCCATAATTCATAGTTCTGCCACAAACAAGTAAAGAGGAAAAGTAGATTTTGTTATAATCGTCTTTGTATTAATATCCCACATTTCCATTCAGAGCACCATGGGAACTGATCTGATTTCATAACATATCAAAATCATAACAGCATCATACTGAACTGACATGCCAACTCATGTGAAATAAATGTCTTGAGTGTCAATCACATATAAATAGTGAAAAACGATTATTATTAGGTAGGTTTGGAAATGGAAACAAGCTTGTATAAGCTAAAAAATGATGCAAAGACTATAAGGGAAATCAGAAGTTCTGATGTAATAGAATATATTTGCAGACTTCAGTGAAATAACGCAGCTTTTTGTTTAAAAGGACATGAAAAATACATTTGTATCTTTGAAAGAAGACCTAGGAACCCAGACTGATATAGAAATTATCTTTTTCTGCAGATTATCAAATGGGAATTGGATTTTCTCTTGGTAATGTTAGAAAAAGAAGGTTTTGGTGGTTGGAACAAGGAACAGAATAGTTCTAGCTAGCAGAGGGCTATCACAAATCCTGCCTGTGGTGCCTTGGCTGAGCTGTGTAGGAGTTTAACACTGCTTCTGTAAAGGGGTGAGCGGGCCAAAGCATCACACAAAATTTCCCTGTCATGCATGGTTTGGCTACACTTATTTAGGAACCCTTATTCTTTCTTAAGAGCACTAAAATTCCCTAAATTAATCCCCCATTAATCTTAAAAAATCCAGGCAACTAATGGAGTGCAACTTCCAAAGTCCTGTATGGCGTATACAGCACTGAGTGTGGGCTGGGTGATGAGCACTTTGGTTGCACATTTCTGGGCTCCAAATTATTATCTGGATGGAGTGAAAGGCTGTAAATCACAGAACCGTTCGGGGTGGAAGGGACCTCTGGAGAGCACCCAGTCCAACCTCCCTGTCAAGGCAGGGCCACCCAGAGCAGGTTACAGCTGAAGCAAGTGTTTGAAACCTTAAGTGCAGTGAGGAGGAAAAAGCCCTGCTTTGAAAATAACAGATTTGTGCTGGAATACAGTGGTTTTTTCATGCTGCAAAATACCTCATTTGTGTTTCTCAGACCAATTACTTTACCTGTTCCTATTTTATTCACAGTCTGTTGACCCTATCTAGCCGTGCCAGCTAGATTTCACAATTTCAGTCTTATAGACTTCTTATGAGATGATTTCATTTTTAGGTTTTGTTCTTATATATTCCCCAAAGCCAACGACTGTTGTGATTTAAGCCCAGCTGGCAACTCAGAACCATGCAGCCACTCACTCACTCCCCCACGTGTGCAAAGCACAATGGATTAGCTGGGCTTAAACCACGACAATTATCCATCTCATTTCTACACAACCAAGGCAATTTTTGTGTATGAGCTCCATTCCTTTTCTTTGTAACAAACCGGGTACACCAACCTTAACTAGCTGCTGAGAAAAGCGAACTGAATGTGGTCTCACACGTGCATCTTCTAAAACCCTGAAAGATTAAAAGCACAGTGAAAAGCAGTCATGCTTCAAATGATGTGTTTGAAAGTGAAACGACTTAACTTTTAGCACTTAGGTATAAGCAAAGTACCTGTGCAAGTCTCCTTTCTTTCCATTATTGATGTCTGCTGATTTAAGTGATGGTCTGCCAGGGGAGGAGCTCTTTTTTGGGGAAGGAGGATTATAATACCTATATTTTACAAGAAAAGATTGGTTTGATGTCTTTAAGATTTGGGGTGTAAAACGCTGCTCCTTTGCTGTGAAGTAAACTGAATGTTTGTCAAGGAGGTCCCCAGAGTATGTTTTATTAAAAGAGGTTTGAATTGCCTTCTTCCTGTTGTGACTGCCTGAATGCAGGCATGACTGCAGAAGTGGTGAAACAGGTGATCTGTCTGTCCTAGAGTTGTGAACAGGAATTTGAGACAAAGCATGCTGTGCAGTATTTCGGATGTTCTTTCTTGCAGTAGGAGCTGGCATCAGAGTCCTTGAAGTGAGCTTCTGAACAGATACAGAGTGGGGTTGCTCTTTCTTTGTCCTGTAACAGTTGTTCTGACCAGACATCAGATATAGATGACCATTTTCCAACAGTGAGCAGCTCTCCTGTAAGTTAAAGAACAAAATAACTGATAGAAAAATCACAAAAGTGATGTGCTGGAGACATTGTCTTCTACAAACTGATTCACACAGGAGGAATTCTAAGTAACTGTTTTCAAACTGTCTCAAGTGCTCAAAGTGACTCGCTGAGTTTCAGGAACCACAGTCAGGAGTAAAGCCACCCTGCCATTGTGCTAGAGCTAAAGAGACCTGTTTCTAGGTTCTTTTGCCTTCCTTCTCTTTACCAGGTTGAGCTTGCTAATGACAAGTAGTCTTGGGAAATTACATAGAAACATTCCATTTTGCTTGCTAGGGCCCATAAAGGGAGAACAGGAGGTTTTTCCTCCCTTGGACGTTGTGCATTCTCATCTATGGAACTAACGTCTCAGTGGTAATCTCAGGGGCGTCTTCCATTCTCCCTCCTTGATGCCCATGCAGGTGTAAGCAGGACTCCATCTCGTGAGTTTGAAGTCAAACAGAACCACTGTTATCCTCATAAATACCACTGGTGAAATTGTGGCCTGTCATTTCGCTGTTTATCTTTGTGGGGCACAAAGTTTTACAAATGAAAACAATGCTCATGTTTGAACTGGATGGCATTCTGTTTAAACAGCATCATTAGTAATCTAGCGGTAAACCCACTATAATTCTCAACAAATTAGAAAGTTTTACAATATAAATATAGCCTGCTGAGGAATTTCTGCCCCCAAGAGACAGTGGACTATGTACAAGGAAATGTTTTGCAAGACTTTGTCTATTGAGGTGACGTCCACTGGCAGAATTTGGTGAAGAGCGGGCCTACTCACACCAGCATGAGTTTGTACAGTTTCTGGTATCTGGCAGAATATATAGAATTAAGATTAACTACTTTGAGGTCTTGCTTTTACCAGTAAATACCATTCTGAAACTCAGAGAATACTGTAAACCAGTGTCAAGTTATTGAATTGCGTGATAAGAAAATCATTGTGATTTAGTTCTCTTGCAAATATTGTGAACAGAAATCATCTGATAAGAATGTTATCACGCACAGCAGCAAATTTCTGGGCACCTATGTAATACTTAATTAAGAATTCTAATTCCATTTGCCCAAGGAACAAAGAGAACTCATACAAGTTTGTGAGTGGCACACACATACCCATGCTGTCAGCGCAGGGACATATTTTAGCCATGCACATGTAGCCATGACATGGGTACCTGCCATTGTAGGCCATGTAGGGATAGCAACAGTTAGGTGAGAGGATAACTGCCAGTTGCTAAAGCTGAGAGTCAAATCTTATTTCATTTTGACTACAGTATAAAAAGCCACACTGACTAAACCTGCACTTAACTGCTCTTACAGGCATGCCTCAGCACCTCAGAGTACAGCCAACTGAGGGAAGCTGGTCTCTATCATGCATCTCAGCATCACGATACCTTCTGCTGTCTTGAAGAAGCACTTCTGGAGTTCAGCAGCGAGGCAGGAAGACCATGTGCAAGGTTCTTCTTGTATTTCTCCAGGGCTTGAATTAGTCTGTCTCTTTTCTGCTGATCCTTGTCTGTGTATGGAAATATGGAAACACAACCCTTCACACTTCAACCAGTGGTCAAGTCATAAGCTATTTCTCTTCACTCTTCTTTTTTGCTACTAAAGACTGTTCTGTCTCCTCCTCTTAATACCAAGTAGCAGACAAAGAAGACAATCACTTTACTCTCTACAGCTGGCACTTGCTGTTTCCATGCCCAGCATTTGGGATAACTTGGAATAAATTCTGAATTTGGAATAAATGCAAGCCAGGACTTCACGACATTGCTCACACATCAAGTAATGAGCTACTGGAGACAGTACAGCAACATTTTGTTTCCACTTCCTGCACACTCTTTTCCCTATCCTAGACAGCAATTGAGTCAGGGCAAAACAGGAGAAAAGCTGAGGCAGTCAAGTAAGGATTCAAGTCCATGTACTAACAGCTGGGTGACCAAAGACAGGCTGCCACTGTGGACTGTGCAGCCAAGAAAGTGTGCTTTTTGTATTGCTCAGGGTGATAAGAGGAGGGTGACTCTTCTGCTAGTACCTCACACACAAAAAGAAGAGCAACAAACTTAGTCTTCTGGGAGAAGGACTCTTCATCAGTGACAGGACAAGGAGTAATGGGTTTAAAATTAAACAGGCGAAGTTCAGGTTAGATCTAAGGCAGAAGCTCCTCCCTGTGAGGGTGCTGAGGTGCTGGCACAGGGTGCCCAGAGAAGCTGTGGCTGCCCCATCCCTGGCAGTGCTCAAGGCCAGGTTGGCCACAGCGGCTTGGAGTAACCTGGTCTCGTGTGAGGTGTCCCTGCCCGTGGCAGGGAGCTGGAGATGAATGATTTTAATGTCCTTTCCAACCCAAACCCAAACCATTCGATGGTTTCTATGTAGGTTAGAGCAGGAATAAAAATATTCTCACAATAAGCATTATTGCTACATATCATCCTACGTATTTTTATATATGTTGTATTATACATTAAGTCTTACAAAATAATAAGAAGACTACCTAGGAATAAGAAAGGGATATGACTTACCCACAACCACAGAGGCCCACAGGGATAATGATGGATAATGCAAAGCCTCTCACAATTCACCATCTTTTGTCAGACCCTTACTTTTAGCAGTGTAAACAAGCATGATGCATGACCAAAATTTTCAAGCCCTTTTACCTGCTGCGTGCATTCCAAGCACAGCTCAGAGAAAAGGGATATGAATTACAATGTGCAACAATACCTTTCTCTTTGGAGATGGCATTTAAAAAATCATAGCCCCAGCAGTTCTGCCTTAAACTGAGGATTCACACACAAAATACCAATAAAGTGGGCCCCACTGAGGTCTCACAAGCTGCTTATGGCTCTTCTTGGGTTGAAAATGCAGCTCTGACAGAATTTCCTTGCCCTGTGGAGCTCTGGCACATGGCAGCACACACAAGTAGTGCTGGGCAGTCCAGTAGAGATGTGCTCTGCTCCTTCCCCTCTGGGTGCATCTGCACAGACTCAAACAGGTCATTCTGGAGGGATAGCAGGGATTCAGGTGGGCTGCTGAGATGTGACTTCTGGCAGTGTTATGTCACTTGTATTATACTGACTTACTCCTGACAAAATGCATAATCAGCCCAGGGCTCCCTTACACTGCAATTGTGAGAACTTACAATATGCTGCAAATCCTTTGCTAGTAACAAGCAGTTCCTCCTCCTCTGAACTGGTGTAATTGCAGCACGTCTCACTAGTGATAACGCTTGAAGCCTGGCAAAGCAGCACTTTCGAAAGGCAGATGCATCAACCTGAATTTAATGTTATACATTCCTGACTTAGCAAAAGGGTTACAGGGTTTTACTTGGTCTTAAGTAATACTTCTTTTGGAAAAGGAATAGCTGAGACTTTTTTGGGTTTTAATTTAGGAAATCCAAACACTTGGTTACTGCACTAAAGGGTTGGCTCCTCTGGAATTTGTCATGGGTCCTGTATGGGGCACGCCATCTCTTGACAATTCCCCTGTTAGGTGGCCTCAAGGCTGTGCCCTAGTCATTGAAAAAACCAGATTTCACTAATAGCTAAACCCAATATATAGTCTCCTGAGGCATGTAATCTGCCTTCCCCATCTTGCATGGACACGAGTTCATAGCATCATCTTATCAAGAAAAACATGTTGACAATGCTAAATCCTATTTGGATGACTGGGAAGCAGGATTATACAGCTCACTGGAACAAATAACAAAATGTACTTGCTCAATCGCATTCATGCAGAGATTAATACCTTCCCCTTGTATCTAGGTTTATGTAGTGTCCGATCCAAGTAACCCCCTAATTCTGATTACAGATGTTTCATTCTGCAGTCATCTGAAAACTCAGAGGCCAGGCAGCTTGCTGTGCAATAGTACCACCAGTCAGGATACCTGGCTCCTTTCATGGCAGTGCCAATGATCTGTGCCACAGGAATAAGTGACAACCATGCCTGTCCACCGTTCTGCATGTGCCATCCATCTGTGTGCAGGTGAGGCAGGACAACGACTGTCTGCCTGAGGCACGGCTGAGCCTTTGCCAAGCCTTGCCAAAGACAAGCAAATCAAATGTTCCAGGTCAAAGAGGCACAGGTTTTAAACAGACTGTGTAGTATTTCACTGATATTTTTACTATAACTACGGGTTACAAACATGCCATGTGGCATTAAGCCTATTCAAAGAAGTACTGTGCCACTGCATTATAGTTTTGAGTAGTTTAGTAGGGCCAGAATGTCTCATAGCAGCTCTCCTTCCCTTTCTCGAACAGACACCAGACTGTCAGGGTCTGTACATGACTCAGCCACGGGAGCAGACAGAGGTTTGCTGACATGTCTGTAAGGGGTTTACTTGCCTCACCCCCTTCTAGCCCTGCTCTCCCCAGTTTCTCTTTTCTCACTACCAGTTTTTCTTATCCATGGTTTTCCCCATGCTCCATC